CTAAACTATCGAATTTGAGTTGATACTAATTAGAAGCATCAAATATTGGTATACATCAAAATCATGGTCTACAAAAAACAGTAGTACTTATACGAAAATAAGATGCAAATTAAAATATGGTAGAAATAGATAAAAATATTAAACAATAAATACACTAAGAGAATTAACTAATCCATGAACTAAGACTTTAAAGGAATTTGCACTTGTTGCCTTACAGATGGAAAGGCCAAGGGAGTACCATGTTCCCACAACTCTTTAAAAATAACTACATTTTGAGAACATTTGTTCTGGCAATTGTCTGAGCATCTTTAGAGTTAACTTATTGTTGTGTCTAAATGAATAGCGATCAATAATAGATAATACTGTCAATTTTTTCAGTGGATTGATAAAGCATAAGTTGTGAGAGGATATGGTGGATTCATACATAAAATTAAAGTTGCTTTGTAAGATTTTCTTAATTATGTCTGATTTCAAGATGGGTACTGCATCAATTTAGGCTAATGTACATTTACATGTATAGCACAGAACTTGCCAGGTATTTTATTAAGTGTTTGATAACCTGTCTCTTAAATTCAGGTGAAAGGAGAATTAATAGTTTGAGCAAATAAAAAGTATGGGTTAATTTCTCAATATAGTTTAATGTATTATCTTGTTGACTATTAAGCTAATGGTAAAAATGGAATACAACTTATCACTTGAATCATTCATAGGTGGGTCATCTAAAGGGAATTCTTTAGAGAGAATAAGTTGTTTTTACTTTTGATGACCCACAAATGCAGTTATTTTTGTTCTTTAAAAAAGTTCTGTAATTTGAAAAGTTGATTCAATCTTTGTTCCACCTGTTGTCTGTCTTTTAAAGTGTTTCATTTTTGTATACTTTTAATTCTATCAAAGTCTACTACAAGTGAGGACAACCATTTGACTTGACTTAAACCTGCATATGTGATGCCCAATGTTTGTTCAGACTTCCTAATATCCATACTGCAGTGGTTTTGTCACCTTTTACTTTCCTGCTTTGGCTAAGTTATGTTTTCCTTTCTATAGAGAAAGTATTTTATAATTTTTGCGCAATGACTTTATAATACGACAGGAAATTTCAATGCAACACTGAATCTGTTTTTCTGGATTAGCTTTGCAAAATTTCATGTTATTGTTTTGTCTCAATGTGGTTAGAAAATACTGAAAAACACATTCTCTTATCTTAATGTTTTTCTGGAGTTGGTAGCTTCTTGTTACTGACTCCACAAATCTTATGGCCTTCATCAGTGCTAAAGGGCTGTATTCTGCTCAGTGTTAGATCAACTGCTTGATCCTTCTCTGCTGGAGAAGATATGCATGCCACAATTGTAGTAAAGGCCATGTTACCTTTAAGTTTGGCAGTTACTTTTGCCTGACCAGCATCTGGTGCACGAGTTTTCCTGGTGCGACAATGAACAACAATTAGTGTGTCTATCTGCTTAAGACTTTTTCCAAGGGTCTCTTGGATCTTTTCAGCTTTGTCCTGCATGGTAGGCTGTTTGGTGTTTGGTGTTTGGTGACGAGGTTTGGATTGCCTTAATGACATCCAACAGAGTAAGGGAAACAACTCTGTTGTGCATTAGTATAAGAGAGTTGTCAAGCAGAGGTTGGATTACCAGCAGACTGCAAACTGG